TTTATTGACAGCTTATGGTGGCAGTGCAATGTAAAGTTTAAAAAAAGGAACTCTGGTACCAAGCTACCTGGGTTTAGGTTTGAATCCTGACTCTAGCACTTGTTGGGTATGTGACCTTAGGCAAGTTATTCAACCCTTCTGTGCCTCAGTTGTTCCATATGCAAATGAGCATGCTAATAGTTCCTATCTCATGATGAGGATTAAATTAATACATGCAAAATATTCAGAACAGTGCCTGACACATAGCATTCGCTAAGCAGTAGCTCACATTGCTATATGGCAGGCACTATTCTAAGCACTTTACACAGATTATTTAATCCGAACAATGAATTTATAATACAAGTGCTGTCATGAGATCAATTTTACAGACGACAAAATTTCAATTTAAGGGATTAAGTCATTTGTTCATGATCATAGGGCTGGAAAATGAGGGAGCTGAGATTCAATTTTGAGTCTGTCTTTGCTCCTAAACTGAAGGCCCATAAACTGGGGTGTTACTGCCCTGCCTTGCAGAGCAGTTGTGAGGATTTACAAAGAAAAGTGTATTTCATGGTGTCTGGTATTCAAGCTGCTCCACACATGTTAATGTCATCTTTTAACTATTGGTGGTTGATGAGCAATAGATCATTCTGTAGTTTTATGCAGCAGAAATTGGCCTCAAGATATAAACCACCAAGACAAAAGTAGAAATTTGAGCGTTTTGATGGACGCATCTGCAAACATTTGCAACACCGACCTGCCCCAACAATCACAACCAGATTTGGGACAAGTCCACTCAACTCACTCACAATTCCTTACAACAGAGCAGCTGCCTCACTTCCTTTCTCAGAGGGCTTTTCAACTACAATGCAGAAATTGCTCAGACGGTGGCACCAGTGTGAGCTCCCACAGGACAGAGGCCGCACATTCTGCATTTTGTTCCCCCAGCCCTTAACCCAGTGTCTGAGAGTAACCTCTTGGTAAATGTGTGCAGAACCCGTGAGGCTCTGGTGTAACAAAGAGGCCTGAGCTGGGGATCCAAAGACCTGGGTTCAGATCCCAGCTGAGTCTCCTACCAGCTATGTAACTTCGGGGGAGTCACTTCCTCTTATGAGGCCTCAATGTCCCTCTCTGTGAAATGAGGGGTTTCAACCTTATATGCACTAGAGTCCCTTCCAGTTCTATATTCTCTACTAGTAGCAAAGCACTACGCCCCTCTTTTTCTTTTTTTTCCTTTCCTTCCTTTTCCTTCCCTCTCTCCTCTTTTTTTTTTTTTTTTTTTTTTTTTTTTTTTAAAGATTTTATTTATTTATTTTTCCCCCAAAGCCCCAGTACATAGTTGTCTGTCATAGCTGCACATCCTTCTAGTTGCTGTATGTGGGACGCGGCCTCAGCATGGCTGGAGGAGTGGTGCCTCGGTGCGCACCCGGGATCCGAACCCGGGCCGCCGGCAGCGGAGAGCACGCACTTAACCGCTAAGCCACGGGGCCGGCCCCTCTCCTCTTTTTTCTTCTTTCTTTCTTCAGTCATGCAACAAATATTTCCTACCATAGGTGCCAGACCCTATGCCAGAAACTGGGAACTCAATGGTGAACAAGACAAATATAGAAAAAAGGTACTTAAGTGTTTGCTTATTTACTGAATCCTGTAAATGCATAAGAATATTCAATTCTTACTTTGAAATTTTGCTTCAACATACAAGCTAACCATGCAGTTCTTATTACTTTCAATGACATGCAAGCAAGAGGTTAAGGAAGATCCAGTTGTACTAAACACTTAAATGAAGTCCTTCAATTCTGACATATAATGGCAACAATTATGACACAGACAGTTCAGGCTTAAACAGGTTTGGCTGAAATTGCCAAGGTCATTGCACCAGTTACCCAGGTGAGACTGACTGGTAAAAACTCTGTGACAAACTACCCCTACTCCAACTTAAAAATGATCAAGAAATTAAGCATATGGGTGCATTCATAGTCAGGTTGGAAACTGACTTCCTCTTTAGAACTAGCTTAAGAGTATAGCAATGGCCAGTGTGTAAAGAGACAAATGTGGGGCTGACAAGTAGAAAGAGATGATAATTTCATTCAATTTGTAGTCTCTGTATCTTCCCCTTACAAGAGTAGGCCAGTCAGCAACTTAAATGTCTGGAAAATTCAACATTGATGTGCAAGGGTGAAGTGATAATCACTGCAGCCTTCCTTTGCCTTTAGCTCAAAGGACGAACGAGTGCAGAAAATATTCTGATTTTTAAAAAGTTTTTCCTAAAGAGGTGATTGGGGAAGCAACAGACATGAAGAGACTTTGAGATTTAGCAAGATGATGTAATAACAAGCAAGGATGTAATTACAGGGCCTCGAGTAAAACAGGGTAGAACAAGTGGACTGGTCCTTGAGAAATACCAGGGTGCAGTTGGAAAGTGACACTAGAGGGCAAGTTTTCAAAATTCTCTTATACTAGCCAGAGACCTTGATGACATGTTAATTAAGAGGTTTGTTATTTTTAGAACTGCCTCATTTCTCAAATGCTTCATTTTAAGTCTTTTATGAAAATGAACATCATGTTAAACATGTTGTTAAGACACAAAAAGAGATTTCAATCTTTGACATTTGTGAAATATCATGCTTGTTAACTGCCCACTGTGGGTACGGTTTTATTCTGAGTTTTTCCAACCTGAAGAATATTCTCACCTTTAATATTCAGAACATATCTAAAAATATAGAACAATGTCTATTTCTCAAATGATGACATCAACACTGACTACTCATAAAACATCTCTCCTTCAAATAGATCTCTACATAAAAACAAGTACAAAAGACAGGTCATCATTCAGGAGCGGGAACCCAAAAGATCTTGTTTCCTGAGTGTAGGACTGGAAAACTCACATTTGTGCATCAGCACTGATTTTAGATTTGTGGCAATGCCACCTATGTGAATTACAATTTCACATTTCAGAGGTCTGTCATCTGGGTATCTATTGCTTTAAAAAAAAAAATCTATCAAAAGCAAGTAAGGAAAATATAGCTTGTCCTTAACACATTTCCAAGGTATTGTATAAAGAATTATTTCATGGAAGTGTCTATTTCTTTTAGATCAAATTAATGAAGTCTCTTTTAATCACAGCCTTTAAAGATTCCAATAGTAGGAAGAGAAGCATTTACCCAGTAATAACTGTACAGTTTATCTATCAAGGTGTTAAGTGAATTGAGATGGGGGGTAGCACACATTAGGACATAGCAGTAAATCTTAAGACACCAGAAAATTCAAAGGAAATTGCACCAAAACAGTAGGTATCAAGAAACTACATCATGTACTCAAATGGAATCATGAAGCACGCACCATCCAAAAACCATCACCATAATCCGATAGGTCCCAAAGTGGCCCCTGAATTTACCTATTCACCTATCAATGAACGTTTATGCTCTTATTTCTCTCTCTCTACTGAATCAAGGGACGTCCATTCTTTTTCATCATATTCTAGGCGAAAGGTAGGCAACCATTACTCAGAATTAATTGGTTCTTTCATCATTTCATTGGTGGTCTCTTCAATTCATTAAAAACACATTTATGGGGGGCCGGCCTGGTGGCATAGTGGTTAGGTTCACATGCTCGGCTTCGGGGGCCCAGGGTTCAGGGACTCAGATCCTGGGCAGACCTACACACTGCTCATTAAGCCATGCTGTGGCGACGTCCCATATACAAAATAGAGGAAGATTGGCACAGATGTTAGCTCAGAGTCAATCTTCCTCAAGCAAAAAGAGGAGGATTGGCAGTGGATGTTAGCTCAAAACCAATCTTCCTCACAAAGAAAAAAAAAAATTATGGGGCAAGCCCAGCGGCATAGTGGTTAAGCTCACACACACTGCTTCAGCAGCCCGGGGTTCACGGGTTCGGATCCTGGGCGTGGACCTACACACCACTCATCAAGCCATACTGTGGCCGCATCCCATATACAAAGCAGAGGAACACTGGCACAGATGTTAGCTCAGGGGCCATCTTCCTCAAACAAAGAGGAAGACTGGCAACAGATGTTAGCTTAGGGTGAGTCTTCCTCATCAAAAAAGCAAAAAACAAAAAACATTTAGGTGGGTAAGGGAAACTCATGAGAATGATGAGAGAGAAAGAAAAGAGGCAGTGCGTCACATTCACCTTTTGTAAGGTCTAATCTGAAACTGCTCAAATTCAGGGCTGCAATCTGGATAAGTGCATAAAAAGAGTCACTGTTCCGCCCCCCCATTTATATCCTTCTTCTTGAAAGAAAAACCACAGATATGTTTCTAGACCAAAGAGGAAAAGCTACAAACAGCCATTGTACAAGAGGCTGAACAGGTAGTAAGCAGTGTGACCAGTTCCTAAACCTTGAAGGAATACCTTGCTCAAGGGATCTAGGTCCAGACACAGCAACTGAGCTTGAGGCAACAAATCAGGCCTGGGGACACCAGCTTTATTAACTCCAAGGCACCTGTTTTCTGAAATTTCAGAATTACTCACTTTGAGAAGGGTGAAAGTTATCTATAAAAAGAAATATTCAAAACTTTTCTGGGGGCCAGCCCGGGGGCATAGTGCTGAAGCTCAGCGTGCTCCACTTCAGGGGCCCAGGATCACGGGTTCAGATCCCAGGGGCAGACCTACACCACTCACCAGCCATGCTGTGATGGCGACCCACATACAAAAATAGAGGAAGACTGGCACAGATGTTAGCTCAGGGCGAATCTTCCTCAAGCAAAAAGAGGAGGATTGGGGATGGATGTTAGCCCAGGGTGAGTCTTCCTCAACAACAAAAACTTTTCTGATCATATTAGAAGAGAAAATAAGCAGAATAACATTTTAGTGCTGTTGGTGTACCTTTTTAGTCCAAATCTATTTATTTTACTCCTTACTTACAAACTGCCCCCTGCCCTAAATAAGGAGATTACATAGAAATTGTCTTGATATCAATATATGTTATAGCTTTGTTTTACTATTTCTTTGGTCTGAGAAAGATATGTTTGGAAAAGTAAATGAAAGGATCAACTGACACAATTATTACATTTTATTTAAACGTTTTAGAAGATGAGTGGCTGAGCTCACAAAAGTTACCTGAATCATTAAAAAGCACAAAGTTGGAGAACTTTTTTAAAAAGAGTGGATACCAAAATAGCTTTTAGGAAGATGACACCTTATTAGTCTCTTAACTTGCTGAAGAGAGCAAAAGAAGGCTTAAGATCTGAAGAATAAAAGTTATATTTATAAACATGCTAAAGAATAATTAAAACAAACTAAACAAAAAAGAATGAGGAAAAATATATTGTGTCTTACAGGTTAAATCCTATTATAAACGAACATCATTTCTATGGGACTCTATAGTCCACTTAGACAATATTCAAACAGCAATGCCATTACTAAAAGAGCTTCAACACTCCTTTGGAGTTGGCTATTACAGAATTTATCCTGCACATAGGGTATGCAGGAAAAACATCCTGGAAAGTCTCAGAATATCTGCAAACATAAAACTCTTTCTCTAAATTGCACTTATTGGTCTTGAATCCAGTTGAATGGGGGTCAACTACAACTTGAAGCTTGTCATCTTGGGGTGGGAGAGTAATCTGAAGCTAAAGGGCACTTTGCTATAGTTAATTCGTGTGGTTACAAGTAAATTCTAGAAGTTCCTCCTCAATGCCAAATATCTATTGAGAATTAAACAGCAGATGAAACTTTCTAATTCCAAGAATTCACGTAATAAAGGGTAATCATTACAGAGTTTACATATACTCAGTTTTCTTAAAGCCATAGCTTTTATTATAGAAAGGAGAAAGTACATGGCATTAATAGATCAAGCATGTGAATTCTAGAATACTAAATAAAGTTCTTTTTCCTCTTGCTTAACAACCAATTATATCTATGGGCTGCAAAATCATACAAACCTGTAGTGTTTTGCATCATATCAAAGAAAGACCAATATTTCTGCCTGAGTGTCCCACTAACCTCTCTCTAGAGCTATTATTCTTGAACTTTCTATAAAAGTTTCTTTTCAAATAATTTATTAATTATAACAACTGGGAAAAGCAGTGTGAGGACCTGACTATTTCAGCCAAGCAATGAAGGCAACGAACTTCCTTTAAACCTACACTCCTGTCTGAATTTTTATATACTAAAATAACCCTTTTCCCTCACTTCTGCAAGGGTACCAGAAGAGAGTGGCATTTCTTGGCCGTCACAAGTCTCAGGTTGAATCTTCTCTGTTGTTCACTGTTCTGACAAAGGCCTCTGGACCTGCAGCTCATGCCTCCGGTAATTCAGTCTTGTTCTCAATGAGAGAAATCTCCAGCACAGGTAAGAGTAGCTGAAAGGCATCTTGGATATAGGAAGCACTGTTTGACGCCTGCCAGGATTAAAAAAATAGGAAAAAGAAAATACCACAGTGACTTAAAAGAGAAAATATACTATAAGACAACAACAAAAAAGATTAATTTTTATAATCTAACTGAATTTATAGGCTGGCAAATAAGAGCACAGACTTAACCATTTCAGTAAACTTATAAGGGAAAGAATGATCTAATTCTTAAGATGATATGACAGCCCCAAAAAAGAATGTCAGCATTTTCCTCCAATTTTTCCATCAGAAATAACAGCCCTTCTTTGCCATCCTGCTTAAATTCAGCATTCAAAACTTACTTATTCCTTGACTGAAAGGGTAGATTCTGTCACAGCATTTTAGTCAATTTCTCAAAGAGGATTTCAGAGGCTATTAATCCTACACCAACGAGATTTCCAGTCCATTGTGACAGTTCTTCCATGGACTCAACGCAATTAGTGAACACAAGATAGGTGCTCACAAACATAAACAAGGAATACTGCTTTCAAAGATGATACAATATAAATATATTTCTGTCTGGTACAATAGACATATTTATGAGAAGTGTTATGGAATCATTATGCTCAGAGGTTGCCAGACTTCATTTATATCTGACAAATTCTGACCTTCCAGAAGAATAACAAGAGAGAGTTCATTATATTAAAATAAAAATGTATAATTTCAAGGACAAGGGTGTTTCAAATCTGTAAGCAAGCACAACCAACTCAAAATAGCAATGGGGAACCCATATCAAGTGAGTTTATCTTTTTTGGATTTATCAATGGCAAGTACTCCTATTTAAACTTTACTGTGACATTTGATACCGAATTTTCTAGCCAAAAGAGACCTCAGAGATCATCTAGTTAAATCTCTTATTTTGCACTTAAAGATAAAGAGATTGCTAAAAAGGTAACTGCCCGGTCCAGGGCCACACAGCAAATCAGGGAAGATCCAGAACTGGGCTCCTGGTTTGCAAATTTCTTTCAACTATACCACTCTGCCATCTACTAAATCACAAACTTATTTTTTTTAATTAAGTGATCAGAAGAATTTTCCTGACTATTCAAGGAGAACTGTGCAGTTAAGGAATTAAAGGCATTTCCTTGGTGGTAATTTTTAAAAAATTTAAAACTAAAGAAGTAACAGTCAGTAGTTAAAAAATGTTTTCAATTCGTATTTAAAACCTAATCAATTATAAAATATATTTTCTCCCACAATACTTACATAAATATGTTTTAAACAGATCATCAAATGTTTAAAGTGTTTGCACAATTAATTTATAAGATAGAGTTCTTAAAACACGGAATCCAGAAAGCATCAAACACGGAGGCAATATAATAGATCATGAGATCCTCTTGTACTCCCCCTTTCCATGGATTTAAACTACCTATCTCCTTAAGTCTAATGGACTGATGAGGATTATGTAAACACAGCTACCTCTTTGACAAAACAAAGCAAATTTCTTGGCAAGAAAATGAAAAAATGTTTTGTTTTGTTTTGTAACAAATCTCCTCTGCATAAACTCTAGTCCTTTAAGAAGCAGTTATTGCTTGTTTGTAATTTTCAGCCTTTCACATTTACCAGCTGTTTCCAGAAAGTGTCTCATTACTGAGAATCGTCCATTAACCGCCAAGGGGTAGTACTAGGTAATGACAGCCCACTGCTTCTTCCTTTCCACTCTACCTGACAGCTTCAACTTTATGCTTTGTAATTAATGAACAGGGAATATGCATCAAATACACACCATTTTGGTCATATCTGCATCAACATGGCTAAACTACCAATCTGGTGAAAAAAACAAAAAAGCCAAAACATAAAGACTTAAGAAGAGTTAATTAATACACAGTGCCCTAGAAGTCAGAGACTCAAAAACAATTACTACTAACCTCTAGAAATACTGCAGTGATTAACGGATTAAGGACATCTGCCTTCTCTTTGACCTAGAATAAAGGACACAGCATTAAGTGAGCACAGCAAATTAAAAAAATAAGCAGAGTATGATCCCACTTTGACAAGCACGCACACACCCCATACATAAATATAAGCACAGAAAAAGTCTGGACCGAGAGATAGCAAAATGTCATCTCTGTAAGTGCCTTAAATTTCCTTCTTTATATCTTTCTGTGCTATCCAAACTGAGAATGTTCTCCTTTGTAGTTTTTTATTGATTTTAAAAAGTATCTTCATTTTGGAAGAGGGGGTAGAAATGGTACATTTGACCAGAAAACTTCAGAACCATTTTAAAACAAAAGATGAAGATAAGGAACATGTGCTCAAAATACTCAATGGTTCTTAAAATGGGCTGTTTGGAAAACATGCAAATAAACAATGCAAATTTAATACCTGCATGTGTTAGCACCTTAGAGTTGACTTGCTGGGTTAAAGTATCTTTATGAAATACATGGAAAGAAGACTAACTTCAGGAAACCCAGAAGCTCTTTCAAAGAATACACTAAAGGAAAAAAAAGAAGCTATATCGTAGGATTATCCCTTACAGGAATAATCTAAACTCACAGTAAGAAAAATTAATTTGGGCCAGGCTCTTAACTAAAATAAATTTAAAGGCCCCAAATAACTTTGCTGCCACAATGACACTTACATACTTAACTACAAGGTGATTTTTTTTAATTGAGGTATAATTGACATACAACACTGTACTAGTTTCAGATGTACAACATAATGATTTAATATCTGTATATATTGAAAATGATCATCACAATAGGTCTAGTTAACATCCGTCACCATACACAGCTATAAAAATTTTTTTCTTGTGATGAGAACTTTTAAGATCTACTGTCTTAGCAACTTCAAAATATGCAATACATTATTATTATTTTTTTTTTTTTTTAAAGATTTTATTTATTTATTTTTTCCCCCCAAAGCCCCAGTAGATAGTTGTATGTCATAGCTGCACATCCTTCTAGTTGCTGTATGTGGGACTCGGGCTCAGGATGGACGGAGAAGTGGTGCCTCGGTGCGCGCCCGGGATCCGAACCCGGGCCACCAGCATCGGAGCGCGCGCACTTAACCACCAAGCCACGGGGCCGGCCCATGCAATACATTATTATTAACTATAGTCACCATGCAGTACATTACATCCCCATGACTTATTTATTTCATAACTGGAAGTTTGTACCTTTTGACCCCCTTCACCCATTTTGCCTACCCCCCTTCCCCCACCTCTAGCAACCACCAATCTGTTCTCTGTATGAGCTTGGTTTACTACAAAGTCATTTTTATTTGCTCATTTAAAATGCCCTTAATTTTATCCTAATTCATGATTACTAATTTCTGAATCATCTTCCATAGTTCACACAACTTCAGTAAATTTCTACAATTCTTTAAAAAAAATAAAAAACTTTAGTTTTAACAACAACTCACCTACTGGCTGGCAACTGCAAAATATGAGCGTTGCCATAGTGTAAGTAAGGTGCTGCTTCTTAAAACTAGAGCCAAACTTTGGGTTTTTATTCTATCAAGGTCTACATTTCCTATACAGGCCTCAGAGGGCAGCATAAAATATACTGCAGACTTTATAAAAAGAGAGAACAAAAAGGAGCTGCAAAAATCAGAGACATAGTCAAACTGATGCTAAAATTCACATGGAAATGCATAGAATATTATGCGATAATAAAAAGAAGTACCGATACATACAATGTGGATGAACCTCAAAAACATTATGAAAAGTGAAAGAAACCAGACACAAAATACCACGTTGTATGATCCCATTTATATGAAGTGTTCAGAATAGGCAAATCTACAGACAGAAAGTAGAGCTAGGAGAGTGTGGAAGGAAAGGGAAGGGGGAGTGACTGCTAATGGTATAAGGTTCTCTGGTGGATAATGGAAATGTTCTAAAATCAGATTACGGTGATGGTTGCACAACTCTATAAATATACTAAAAACCATTGACTTGTACATCTGAAATGGGCAAATTTTATGGTATGTAAACTATATCTTTTTTTTTTTTTTTTAAA